TGGCCCATATATGGAGAAAATGACTGAACAGTGGACACAGTGTGCACCAAAGAGTCTTTGAAGTGAGTCGCTCTATTCCGTTTCTATCTTTATTGAGAGTTGCATGTGCACAGCAGATGTTCAGAACAGAGGTTTATGGATGTGTAGTGTTCAAAACATTCAGACAGTGTTGTTGTTCACACTCAAGAGAAAAATAGACAGCAAAACCATAACAGTGTAACCCTCCCTGACTGTGGAGCATTTATCTGTTTTTACTGCCAGCTCACAGCCAACCTGTCTCATCTGCAACAGGTGTGTTGCAATAATTAAAAATATAATATTCAGAAGCAACACTGTGAAAAGCACCGAACTTTAACGACCAGCTTACCCATACAGAGTTTATCTGCAGTTTACAAACGTAGATATTTAAACCTGGTGTGGTTCTGCGCAGCCCACTAGAGAGTCGCAGCAACTTGATTGTTGTCTCTATCTTGTTGCATCTATTTGCATTTGTTTGGAGTTTGTCTTTAGCTTGGGTGACCATATTCTGACTTCCTGACTACCACTTCGCGGGGGTGGAGTCACAGAGTTGCACAAAGTTAATTTTACAAGTTTTGCGGGTTGGGTCGAGTGTCTTTTATGTGCTTCTAACTCAGTAAGTCCACGTGACATAAAATCGAAACTTACGTACAAAACCACGGACATTTGAAGGATTTTATAAACTTCCCCGGACAAAGCCAGACAAACCCGGACAGCTCCCCTATGGCATTAGCCCTTCGCCTATGTTAGCCAAAGAAATAAATTTATTTTAGAAGTCGCAGAAAATAGCCAGTCCAGGTTAATTTTCCTGATCTTCAAATCTGGCCCTTCTAGAAATGTAATAGAGTAACTGCAAAGTTTTGATCTCATGATTTCAGATTTTCATTCCTGACTATCCTAATATCAAAATTGGTTTTGCAATACCAATGAAAAACTTGATAAGGGTTACATCACTTCACAAACTTCAATAAAAAAAAAAAAAAGTATTTAGCACCAAGGAGATTAGCATTTGAACACCCCTGAATAATTTTATATAAGTAACCAAATATTACTAAGTTACTGACATCAAAAGGAGGATGACCATATGTCCTCTTTTACCCGGACACGTCCTCTTTTTCAGGGGCTGTCTGGCCTTGTCTGGCTTTGTCCAGGGAAATTTATAAAATCCTTCAAATGTCTGCGGTTTTGTATGGAAGTTTCGAGTTTGTGTCATGTGGACTTACTGAGTTAGAAGTGCGTAAAAGACACTCGATCCGACCTAAAAAACTCTCAAAATTAACTTTGTGCGACTCTGTGACTCATCTCCCCACGTAGTCGCGTCCTCTTATTGGGAAGTCAGAATATGATCACCCTATTAAAAGTTAATGACAGAAACTAGATTTTAGCGGATTAAAGGTTTTATTTTCATTCTCCAAGTGAAGCAACATTAAAATTACCTGGTGATGCAGTTTTGACAGCTTATTTAACTGACTGACCCTTTATTTAGGTTGTACAGATTATTAAGATATTGAGCAACTAAAAATACTTGAAATGACAATAAAATCAACAAAGGCAATGCATGACTGTTTCTATTTCAGTTTGAAAGGGTTAAGTCCAACTTTTAACTTCCAAAAACCTGCCAAAAGTTCTGCTTCACAGAGTTTATTTCTAAGTGGAAATGTGCACACACAAAGAGCTTACTAAATGTAAAGGTTTTTAATCAATGGATTTTAGGTTTAATATCTAGACTTTAGGCAAAATGGCCATAAAAAAAGGTACAGGTTATTACTCTAACATCAAGATCAGAACGAAATCAATATTCATTAACACCATTACACAACGCTGCAGAAAAACCCTCTGGAGACGGTTTGTCAGAATCAGTGTGTGTGTGTGTGTGTGAGTTTGATAAGTGGAGGAGGGGTCAGACTGAGTTTCTGAGTTTTAAATTGGTCCTGGCTGAAGAATGTGGTCAGTGAAGAGCAGGACAAAAAAAAGAAAAAAAAGTTGGATTCACAAGGATTACGGAGAACTTGAGTGACAGCTCTCTCTCTCTCTCTCTCATTCATTCTCTGTAACTCATGTTTAATTCATTCTCACTTTAATCAGGTAGTTTAACTGAAATCAGAATGTCTTTTTTAAGGCAGGGACAAAAACACATTCAAAGGATTGATTTAAATGTAGCTTGGCAACAGACTTTAAATCTTTGAAGGGGGTAAATGATGCCATATCATTCCTGGTGTCTCCCCAAAAACACCCAGCAGGCACGGAGCATTTTAGAGAAGCCCATTTAGAGGCTTCCATGAGCTGGCAAGAGGCTGAATCATTACCATGTTCCATCAATCAGAACCTCGAATGCAGCAAAAGAGCCATTTATCCATCTGACAGAGTCTCTGTCTATTTAAAAAAAACAAGCTTTGACTTGGGCTGTTCCCTTCATGTCTGCTAGAAAATCACTGATGCCGCTATATCCAGTGCTGTCGATGACAACAAAAACACACAGTCTCATGCATAGTCACACAAGGATTGACATATGCCAGCCAGAGCGAGCGAAGCAGCTTGGCTGGGCTTGTTCACGGCCTTAATCAATGGGAAGCTTAGCTAGTGACACAAACGATCATGGCAGCAGCAGAAGCCGCAGACTGTAGCAAATCCCAGCTCATCTCATTACCACAGATGCATGAGAGGCGCCATATTAGCATTTCTGCCAGATCTGTCACTGTGAACATTCAGAGTGCAGACGGCTGCATGAAACACCGAGATGTATATGTAAACATCTGGCTCTTTGTGAATATCCAGGAGCTAATCAACTGTGCGGAGAAGTGTGCGCGTGCAGATTGTGTTTGGCATATGCTGTCACTCTTCATGCTGTTCATCTCGCCACATTACAGGTGCTACAGTATGTGCAGCATTATGACACTTAAATATCATCAGCATGCTAATTCATGAGCATTTACATGATTACTGTCAACAACTGTGGATGAATTTTTTGTTTCTAGGAAGGCTGAATGTTTATTTTAAGAGTTGCAAGAATTGCTCAACTTTGCCAAGGTTACATTTGAAATATTTAAGGGTTATTTCGCTATTTTTAAAACTTTCCACTGTTCATACCTGTCTTAGACGTTATGAACCCCTTTTCTGGAGTGAGACTGCAACTCTGCTGCCACAATGTTGTGTATGATTTCATAATTCATTATGATGCTACAAAAGCACAACAGGCATTTTATGTAATCGCCAAGCAGCATTACAACATGAAGCCATCATGCAAATACTAAAAACCACAGTCCACAGATTGTCCACTTTTGACTGGCCACATACTAACCTATAAATAAACACCTGTGCAATCACCTGTGTTGCTCTGCAAGGTTATTATTCTTTCAGCACATACTGTACAGGAGGTGAACTTGTTTATAACTCGTGATTTTTTAAGATATACTGTAGATGTGAGTTTTCTGTCATTAGGGGCATGGCTTACATGACTGACAGGCAGGCACACTGTAGCTAAAGGGACGTCTTAGCTCCGCCTCTCTACCTCTTTCTAGATTGAGTCAGCATCTAGAATATACTGGCTGCCATTTACAGGCTTCAAACTCCACTTCAGAAACTAATAGGAGGTTGTTTCTTTGTTTTATGCAGTCAACAGTGAGCACACAGTGGAGGCTTCAGATAAACACATGCTGTGACACACACTATGCTGTTCCACCCTTTTCACTCCTGGTTACTGAGGGTGTGGAGATTTACTGATCGAAATTACTTACTGATCTTAACAATCAAGATGTCACTGTTTGATCTTCAATACCCTGGATATTGAAAAAAAAAAAAAAAGTTTTGTAAAGAAATGATCTTATCTGCAACCAGACACAGATCATAGCTCTGAAGATGCTGTGAGGAACTTTAAGCTTCTCTTTTCACAAAGAAAAATATCCGCCTGCTGTGTTTTAATTTTAATTTTAAAAAGTATTACTGACTGTAAATGTTAGCCATGAAAAAGTGCATACAAAAGCTGTTACATGCTGTATTTACATGCTGTAATTTTTTTGTTCAGACAACTAAAAAAGTCTTTCTTGTCAGTGGCGTCCTGGTTTGCGTTCTCTGATGTAAAGAACACGTGCTTTTAGTCGTCATTCGATCTATCTGATACGGCCATGAGTTTAAAATAGTTAACAATGTTGATACTGTTTTGCCTCGTGCTTACTTACATGCATGCTCCTGTCAGTCAGGAAAGTCACTTTTCTTTCTGCTGTTTAGAGGAACTGTTTCAGTGGTTTAACCATCAATAGTGACATAACTCATACAGTGACCTGTGGGATTTCTGCATTTTCAGAGGCTCAACACACAAGCCAGATCTATTCAAGCAGAAAGGCCATATCCATAAATAGTAATTGCCTCGTGACTCCTAAAGGGGAGGAGTGTAGACACACTGATTGGTTCAATTCATTTTACAACCAAAACACTTTCACAATAAACAAGAAACTTAAACTAACCTCTTTGAGCCCTGCGCCTCACTTAGCAGCCAGATTGTGCGCAGCTTAACTAGCAAAATGTGGTTGGACCCCACTTAATAGATCCATGTGTCTGAGACCATGCATGTTGTTTAAGCAGGGCCCTAGAGTAGCTCAGATGAAAAGCAATTAAAGACAGACCCCTTGAAGTTGACGCGTTGTGTTAATCGTCTTCATATGGCGGGCTGTTGTAGATGTGCCTCTGTAGCTGTGATTTATTGTTGTACTTCAAAGTATAAGCCCTTCTTCATGTGGTATTTCTAATACTTTTTTCCAACCGATGTGTGTGCAGTGGAATACAGTCAGCAGTGAGGCGTGACAAAGACAAAAGCCGTATCACACTTGAGCCAGAGATAACAGGAAGCACAATCCTGTCTCCTTTATAGCGCCGAATCAAACAGATAAATTTAGCCCCGCTGTTCTGTGCTGTAAAAACCAGGCGGTATTCCCCTCTCAATCTGTACGTCTGTGTTCCTCCACCACAACACAGCCAGGGGTCTTCCACACTGTCAAAGGCTTTGTTGAAAGGATACCCACGCTGAATCAATCCCTTATGTAGTGGACACAGGAGCCGATTCACTGCCATAGGTTCCTCAGAGCTGATCCGTGTTTTTTTGTACAAAGCCCGCTGTTGTGTCGACAGGAGCCAAGCTGTCTTCCCATGACCAGCCGGAGCGGCCATGTCTAAAGCGGTGTCAGGACTCTGTGATGGTCCTTGTGTCACGGTTAACAGGACATGACTGGACACTGGCTCCCAGTTTGCTGTGGAAAAAAAGCAGCTTGTGTTTGAAACGACCCAGAATGTTTGACGACAGGAGGACAGGGACAAGTACAGGGACATAGATGTCTGATGTCTTCATATGCCTACAAACCAAACTACTTACTTTACCTTGGCATGGTGGGATTTGATTGAGTATTGTCTCATTGTTGATCTTGGGGGTCACACTAGTAATCCAGAAGGACACAAATCATGGACAGATATTTGCATGCCATTTAGACAAGAAATATAACGAAAGGACAGAATACACAATTAGTGTATTGTTGTACCGAGCCCATCAAGGACTCTTCATTCAGCCAACAGACAAATCCATGAAGCATAGTCATGGAAACTGAGGACCAAACTTGACGGGCTGCATCTACATGAGAAATATTCAAGAAATTCAAGTATTACCAGTTAATAACTGTATGACTTATTTATCTAAGATAATATTTGCTGGCAGCTAATATATGATCACCTTGCTTTTGGTTTAGTCACTCCATCCAGCTGCCATTGCAAGAAAGTCCCTTTCCTTTAAAACAGTAAACCACCATTGGAGTACATGTTGAAATCATCAGCATCAATGAAAGCAAGACTAGTTTTGTTGAATTTGTATTGTTGTCCTTTAATAAATAATGAGAAAGTATTGACAAAGTAAGGTGACCAGATTTCTGTAATGAAATCCGGGGACATTGGAGAGCAGGGGGTGGGTGAGTGGGGGGTGGAGCATCAGTTGCGTGATCACAGACATCATCTTGGTACTACTTAGTAGCAGCGCACGCCCCCCATAGAAACTGTTGTTCAGGACTGCGTGCAACATGCTTACTCACGCTTCCTACCTACTCGGGTACCATAGTAACCGTTGTTCTAGTCCACATGCCATATTTTCTTTTTCATTCATGAAACGCTTAAATCAGGGACATTTCGACAGGGAAAGGTCAAATCGAGGACTGTCCCTGGAAATCGGGGAGGTCTGGTCACCTTATGACAGAGGATTCCTAACCGGTTACCATGGCCAAGCCTCAAGTTAGCCATTTTCATTCCCTGTCGAGTTGTTTTCTTTGTGGAAAAGTTATGTTCAAAGGCTGACCACCTAACTTCAAGGGTGTTATCCTCAGAGTTTTTCAGCATCTGGACTTTTTTGTATAATATTTAAATCTCAAAAAGACACAGAACTCTGTGTCTTTCTGTCCGTTTTCCTCAAATTTCTGCTCTTCCCTGTTATTTGTTGGGCTGCACTGCACCTCATTTTTCATCACACAGACAGAAGGTCTCTGTAACACACACAACACAAACTCTGAGTGTTTAAGGAACACAAAGACGGATTGAGATGATGGGTGGAGCGGTGTGGAGGAGGACAGAGGGAGAAGTGTCAGAGAGGGGACAAAGACAACAGCATCTGACTGCAGATGATTGTTTCAGTCATTAGCATGGGTTTGGGCCTTCATACAAGTCTCAGCAGGGCTTTTCTCTGGGGACACAGGCGAAGCTTTTATTGAGCAAATGATGATGTTCAAGTGGAGCTAAAATGACTACTTCCACTTCTCCTTGTCCTCATGATGACCTTTTATTTCTGAAGCCTTTTGAACAGATTTTTCACAAAATTTTCACCAAAGTCAAATATTCAGTAGACTTTAACACTCAAAAAAGGAAATAAATCCACAGTAGAGTAAAAAAACTAAAAAAATTCAACTCAGGATAAGCAGCTTGACCTACCTCCTGTCAAGCTAATCATATCATGAGTCATTTCTGTGATTGAGACGCACTGAAATTCAGTTGATTTTCTCTTTTCCCATTTTTTAGTTGTTACCTTTTGTACATTTGGTATCAAAATCACATTTTTTATGCATAAAATCCAAAAAGTGACCATCCATGTCATCTGCATTTTTCACACTCAAGGCAAGCTCAAAGGTTGGTTCATAAGGATTAAAATGAACTTGGTTCAACGGAGCTCTCTATCCCTACAAACTTTCTAAGACTAGCTATTTACTTCAATTCAGTGTTTAGTTTCCATTTGTGTTGTTTCAGTTTGCAAATTTTGTTTCTGATATGATCAATGTCTGAGCTTGTTTTGAGATCTTGGAAGCACAATTTCTATGAAATGTAAGATTTTCCAGCCGGAATCAGTACTAGACTGAAATTAACTGAGATTTATCTTTATAGCAAACAAAAGCAAATGACACCAGTGATAACACACCATCGGCAATACCACTCAGGAGGTATTTGGTGTCATTGTCTTGGATAATGACTTTACAAATGAATCCAATGGTGAGCGTCTGAAATGGAATTGATTTTGTAGCAGACTACAGTTGTTTGGTTTTTTTATATTGGCTACACAGTTGAAGACTTTTAGATCTTGACCAGTTTTAACACATGTAAATACTTATATCTGACTTATATTGCATCAAGTCAAATTTCAGAGTCCGACTAACACGCCTTCTGACTTGATTTCCTCTTCCATGTATGCACTTCACTAGCGTAAGTCATCTGGACATGTCGTACAGTTTCCATGTTGGGGTTTAACCCTGAAGTCTATCATCATAAATGTGTTAAAAGAAGCAAGCTAGTTAATAAAACCTAAACAGGAGACTAAGAAATGTAAAAAACGACAAAGCTACCACATCATGCTTTCGAAAGAGTGCTGTGCTGTAAAGTTGTCTATGTTTTTATACTGTTGGATATACATTAGCCTCGCGCAACCTTTTTGTTCACTGTTCAACAACTGGAAGATGGCCGAATAGTTACAACGATAGCAGGCAAACTGCCACCTAGTGTAGTAGAGCTGGACAAACCTGAATCGAATCTTGCCGGAATGCTTGAAAACTCAGTTGAAACAGTAGTCCAGTTAAATCACCTAATTCAGATAGAGCAGTAGCTGGCATTGACTGTAAAGTCTAATAGAAGTCGGATTTGCGTTTTGAGGGACGTGTGTTGACACGTTGATCTGCTCCAAAAACTTGAAGGGCTGATGTCAAAATGTCATGCTTGCTTTTAAAAAATTACTTTATTGACCAAAGAACTTCAGTATATCAATGGATCAGTGTTGGCCTTGATCGCCATGATCCAAGCTATTTTTAGGCTGTAGAGATTTCTATAATGCTCTTTATCGAAGTGAGTGGTTTATAGACAGACTGACCAACCTGAAGGTTTTACAAGACCTGCTCCTTTTTGTACAAATATCCCCACAGATCAAGCCCACATATCAAGATGTATTAATACCGTGTAATGAAATGTTGCTCACTAGGGAAGAACAGTGTGCCAAAAACAACTCAAGACCACCCAAGTTCTTTTTTCTTTATGCAGAAAAAAGTGACTCAACCAATTGAATAAGATCCTCCAGAAGCACGTCATGTTCACTGACAGTGAATCAAGCACAAAGTGTCTGTTTATTGAAAGTGGCTGTCAGCTTCACAGGCTCAGAGGGATGACGGTACTGACACAAAGGATTTTCTGAAGCAAAGAAAGCTTTAATAAAACTTGTGAATCTGATGTTGCTGCGTCGTGTCTTTGTCAACGTTTACCATTCTGCTCTCCCAGAAGTCAGTCTGACAGCTCTGTATTTTATTACATAACATCCCCATTACCTTCTGTTTCTGACACACACTCGCTGGTCCTTCCGATAAGCCTTGTCCAGAGAGAAGCTCCACATTTTGAGAGTGAGTCTCTGAGTTTCTGCACACAGAGTTGGGTTATATAAATTAAATCAGCTCTGCAAACAGTAATATTTCTGTGACATTTAAAACAGTAATGAATGGTGCTACCCCGATAAATGCTGCCTGTTAGCACAGACATTCTGTCAACTTGCACAATTGAAGAAACAAACAAGACTTAGAAAACTTATCAAATGAGTTGAGAAGGTTTTTTTTTATGCTATTGGGATTTTACTTCGTATAATCTGCTTTTATAGCGTGTAAACAACATGAATGTTTAAAATATAATGTAGTTATGGTAGTGTTTTGCTGTACCACAAAGACTAATTTAAGAAAAGCATTTTCACAGAAGTAACTCTACTACTTAAGAGGTAAATTGTGTACAGCAAATGTTGACAGAGCATTTTATTGGATTTGACAGGATGCTCAAACAAGTACGACAATGAATATTTACCATTTTGGTCCTAAATCATTTAAATAATATATGCTTATTTTTTTAAATAAAGGCAAACAAATGATGAACAGTTTGTTAATTGCTAAGTTTTTGACCATCATTTGCATTCTTCTACCATGTTTTGGAGTAACAGAACAGTCCATACGTTCAGATGTAATGCCAACTTAAGGAGACATTCACTTCATTTAGGTTCTCTTTTGTTCATATATGGACAATGGTAAAAGGAAGAAGATGTTACAACCCAAGTTGATGAGTCCATGCAGGGATTTCCAGTACAGAGCCATCTCTATCCCAGAGTGGCGGATCTCTTCCCATCTTTGAGAGATTCAGCCTCTCCTGCATGCCCTCTTTATACCCAGTCATGTCACTAACCTGTTGAAAATTAACCATGTTAGCTGTCCCTTCTGGTAGTTTTTAGAACTACACGACTTTCCAGTGTTTTGTATCCGGCTCACCTTTTGAAACATATTGCTTGCATCAATTTCGAATGAGAAAATATGTTTCACTGCAGTTTTCAACATCGAATTTGTTGTCTGCGTTATTTTCAGTTAGATTTTTAATGATTTTCATCCACCAGACATTTGTTTTCATCATCATTTTAAATGATGCTGCATCTGTTACGCAAATCTAACTTACAACCAGTGCAATGACGGCTGTAGCCTCTCTGCATGGGTTGCCTACTCTATGCACTAAGCAATTCGTGCTCCTATAGAGTGATGGTTTGCAGCATATGCTATTTTTTTCCCCTCACTGTCATTGTTTTTGTATTGTAAAATACATTCACATTAGAGTTTGAATGTGTTTGTTTTTTGCACCTCCTTTGCTGACGGTTTTTGTACAGACATCTCCAGTTATCTTCCTCTAAGTCCCAGTTTCACACAGTGAAGCCGATAGCAGCTCTAGCGTGTCCAGCTCTAGCGCTAACGTCGTATCTTCTCTGGTTGCCAACAGTAAAACAAGCTGCCATATCAGGCTTTCATCAACATGTCTGTTGGGCAGTGTCTATGATAAGAAAGGTCATTGTGAATTTCTGACAATGAGCTGAAAGCAGGTCCTTACAGAGACAACAGCCTGCAAC